TCATTTGGTTTCAATCCAAAACACTCCCACACAGGGGCCGTGGCATTTGGTTTAGGAACAAGTTCCCTGTCTTTCTCTTGCGCTCAACTCTCTGTTTTCTTCTCCGCCTCGTCTCCCCCTCACGAAGATCGCACTGTGTGTGTGTGTAGCCTGTAGCCCCGCCTCCCCCACAGAGACAAAGACACTCGATGACAAGAGCTTTCCTTCTGTTCATTACGCTAATGAACCAACTCACCTGGCTGCTAGACAATGCACGGCAGTGAACGCTCTTGTCGTCCAGTCTCTTTGGTGGAGAGGGACGAGGAAAACAAACAACACATAAATATGGCAATTAATCCCTTTTAATTTACCATGCAATTAACCAACTTATCGCATATCGCGACAGGCCTAATTATGATTCCCAGTCCCGCTCACTCCCGTTGACTTTTTTTCCCATCCCGTCCCAATCACGTGAAGAATAGTGAAACTGGGAATCACATGACCCGTGGGACTCCCAAAAAAATGTCAGCCTCTAATGGGCGTGTAGCTACTTCCATGTTTCAGATGATACGTCATGTTTGTAGTCGACCAATGAAGATGAGTTTACATATCACCTTGGGTTCGTCCTTTACCTTCTCAAAATGATCCCACACTTTGGATTTCCTGCCCGACATGTTGTTAACTAGCCTGTGGAATAACCGCAGGTACCAGCCCTGGACATTAGGGGCGGTACACGTTCTGCGTCTTTAACCGCCTGGTAGAGAGGAGGACGGGCGCTAGGCTTTTGTGCCTCCTTTGTGCCTTAACAAGCATCGTATCATAACGTACCTGAAATCCTGAGTGCAGAGCTGATCTTGTTCCAGGAGCTGTTTATAAGTGTGTAGGCCTGTCGTCCGTGGGACAGATGTAAAGCTCTGGGTAGCCTAGTAGGACACTTCCTTTGTCTGTCCTTTCAAAGTAAATTCCCACATGTTCCAGTCATATAAGTTTTGATTTATTTTGACGAGGTGCAGCTCCTGATAGAGTTTCATGTTTGCTTGTTTTTTTGGGAGTTTTTTTGGGCGACCAAATGAAATCTTACCGACTAATTACCTTTCTGGTCGACCAGTAGGGGGCAGCCCTACTCTCCTCATTGGATCAGTATGATACATGATATGATACTGATATGAAGCACTATATGGCCCATTTAAGTGGGTCATTACCATGAATTAAAATATGGCCTGGCTTCCTGGTTTGAATTAAGGTCGCTGGTCGTTGGTATCTGTGTGTGAAAGAGTGACTGAGAAAATGGCTTAAAGGGAGAGAAATAAATCCAGTCTGGTTGTGTTGAGCTGAGAGTTGTGAGTCTGTGTGTGTGTGTTTGTGTTTGCATGTGACAGTTCAGCCGTGTTTTTGACCGTGTGCCAGTGTGATCAGTCAGACGGTAGGGGATCAGCAAGGTGGCGTTAATTAAAGGGGCTGCGATAATTGTATGCAGAACACATGTGCACAGGTAATTACTGTTACCCTGGAGATGGCTAATTGATAGGTGGTGGCTGCACTGATAAAGATAAAGGGCTGGGCAAAGAGATGGGCGAGAGTGTATAATGGGCGCAGAGGGATAATTGGCAGGGCATGAGAGAGAGGAATGGACGGAGAGAGAGTGAAGAAGGAAAGGCAGCAGCAGACTGTAGCTTTAAACAAGGATAGTAGACGGTGTGTATTTCTGCTGTCAGGTAAATTGAAATGTTCCAAACAGATTAAGTACATTTCATCAGTGGAATCTAAATGAAACATTATGAGAGCTGAGTTTCTGATATAAAAAAAACATCCAGTTGAAAAATGGACAACATTTCCAGAACAGATTAGTATTGGGAAAGCTGTTATTGTTCTTCAGCATCAGCTAATGATGACCATACGTCATGCTTTCATCCAAAGAAGGGAATACTCTCAGCAGTATTGTAGTGCACCAACTACTCTTGCTTTGCCAGACCAATCTGCACATGATGTGTCAGTGCCAGCTCTGCCAAAAGGTCCTGCAGATCCCACCATCATTCCACTCCATGAAATATGTTTTGGAGGTTGTTTATACAGTCATATTTTTCAGTTGAGGGTGTGAAGTACAGTGGAAACTGCTTATAGTGATCACAAATACAGTAATCAACCGCTTGTATGGATCAAAAAGGTTGGGACAGAATCAGACAAATGCTGTTTAGATTAGTGATTCCCAACTGGTCCAGCCACGAGGCCCAGATTTCTCTTCAGTCATTTGTTCGAGGTCCACACAGTTTAATGTATTCACCATCATACGTGCAGCTAGTTTGTTGTCTCTGTCATGCAGCTGTCTGTTAGGCCCAATCCCAATACCCCCCCTTGGCCCTACCCCTTAGCCCTTGGCCCTACCCCTTAGCCCTTGGCCCTACCCCTAGCCCTTGGCCCTCAAAATGAAGCAACAAGGGGTAGAGGTAGAAATCTTTCCCTAGAAATTGGGATGCCACTCACTACGTCACCGCGTCGGTTATGCTCACGCATACGAAACTATTTTAAACAGGAAGCTGCGAGCCATCTACATTTCCAACCGGCATCTACAATGGAGTCTCATTCATGCTACTGATCACGTTTGCCGCATTCATCATGCTTCGTTTGATGAATGACAGATAACAGGGGACTTCTGCTAGCTAGCTAACCAGCTAACATTACGAGGCAGCATAGTTATACTAGCTGGCGTGTTATCGTAATGTGGAAAGTCCGACAATTTTGCAGAACAGGACAGATGACAGATGCCAGGTAGCGCGAGCTAGCTAGCTAGCTAACAAGCAACCTGACGATGGTAACGTTAGCTATGTATGAACTTTTTTACCCGTCTCTTGCTCGGTGGTAGCCATGGCGACGTCTACGTGCAAATGTAGGGGTAGGGCCAAGGGGGGTATTGGGTCGGGCCCTTAGTCACTCACTCAACAGCATGAAAAGGAAAATTAAGGGTGTTTTTTATAAACGTGACACATTCGTGAGATACTTGCTGTCCATTCAGAATGGACCCGCGACCCACCAGTTGGTTTTAACAATTCTCTTATATAATTAAGTTGTTCGCTTACAGTGTTAATTTTGGGTCTTTTCATACATGAGATCCGAAAAAAACAACAACATATGGAAAAAATTTAAAACTACAGCAGTTCTATTTCCCTTTACTTTACTCCCATGGTCCTTTGTGTTTGGCCAATATCAGACCATATTGTCATCTAGTTACACTCTGTTACCATCTTCAGTCTGACATTGCGTTCACAATAATCTATTTTCCCCAGGGGAGGGGATTTGATTTCCCCTAACCAATCACTAGAGACCCACATGTCCGCCTGAATCAAATGTCATTTTAAATCCACGCTGAGTCTTGTCAACATACCTCTTTTGCTGGGGTTTTTAAGAGTGGAGCAAAAACAAATTATGATGTCAGGCGGTATGAAGAAGACATATTGATTTAGATCCGCCTATGTTGTCTTTAGCACTTGTAATTGAAGAAGAGGAAGAAGAAAAAATACTTTATTAATCCCAAGAGGAAATTCAATTTTTTCACTCTGTTGTCATACACACAGGCCCGAGTACACACACATGCACAAACAGGACCTGTGTATGCATTAAATGGAGAGCCCTGAGTGCCCTGAGCGGTAGGGGTTATGTGCTTTGCTCAAGGGCACCTCTCCAGCCACCAGTCCACACTTCATACTTGGTCTGTTGACTTGAGCCAGCAACCCTCTGGTTCCCAAATCAAGTCGCTATGGACTGAACTATTGCCGCCCCAGCACTGCTTGACAACGGCATAAGTCCTGCCAGTGGCACTGATTGGTGAATCGAGTCCACCCAGGGCTCTCATTGGTTGTTTTTAACCGAGAAACTGCTGATTCATGTCATGATGCCAGACGAATCAGTTAACTTGAACTCAGTGGATTGGGCGGACTCAAAGGTCTGGCACTAAGCAACCTTTGTCGTGCAGTAGCAAGACAAAGGTTGCTTAGTGGCAGATGAATCAGTCAACTTGAACTCAGTGGAGTAGGCAGACTCAAAGGTCTGGACCTAAGCAACCTTTGTCTTGCAGTAGCACGTCTGCTTCCAGCTCACTACCTGAGGCTGATAAAGGAAATCAGTTTCTCTCAATGAAAAACGTAGTGTCCTTTAAGCTTATCACAAAAATGAGTCAACGAGATGCAGCAGTTAAACTTGGTGTTTCTCTGTGTAGTTGGCTCAAATAACGAGAAACATGGCTGCCAGTGATGAAGACAGAAAACAAAAAGAGAAAGAAAAAATTCTGTTCTAATAATCATCCCATTATAGCGAACAATGTGACAGATGTGATCACTATAGGAGGCTCCCACTGTACATGCAGATACACCAGTATGGCTCACAGCTGAGAAGCATGACGGCACAAGCTCTATCAGCTGCTGGCTGCACAGACACAGTTGGATAAAATCATTTTTGGCTTTATTTTAATGGGATTTGTTGCTGATAATAAAAAAGATCACATAATGCCGGCCTTATCCTGTAATATTAAGACTGTAATTCACTTTGATGAAGATCCAGCCGACGATGACACAAAGCAAGCCAGCAGAAAGGAGGCTGTGTAACATACTCCCTACCTTTGCTCTGACATACAGCATGTTCGTTAATCCAGCTCCTGTCTACCTTTCTGTCTGTTTCACACTGTGGTTCCTGACACAGGGGAGCAGGCTTTGCAGAAACACAAAGGGGGTTTAAACCTTAGCTCAGCGCTGTAGTATAGACTAAAGGTGGGGATGATCTTTAAACCTTTTTAAATCTTTACTTGGGCTCCGAGTCTGGCAGGAAGAACCTTGCTCTGTGTGTGAATGTGTGTACATGGGTGTGTTTAGTGACACCAGCAGACCATCATATCTCCCTCTTAAATACGCCTCATTTCACCTCACTCCCTTCTGTCTCACCCTTTCTCTGAGTGTATGGAAAACAACTAATTTGTGTGTGTGTGTGCACATTTTCATCCCACCTGTCATCTAACACTGGGGTTGTGATTGCAGAACGGACATCAAAACAACCCCTTCCACCACCATCATCATCAGCATCATCATCATTATGATCAGCCCCTCCAGCAAGAACAAACTGAACCCCAGCAGCAGCAGGCAGTGGCAGATCTGATAGACTTAGACCTGGACATGGTGAATGAGGTAAGCTGCAGTATACCACAGAAGCACAGTGCTCCTGTTGGTGTGGTTTTAGACAAAAGCTCGGCGGGTTTTCAGTTTGTGTGAGCAGGGAACATACTGTCCTAAAGGGTACCCATCAGCCCTAATGAACAGCTTCTTCAGGCATATCCTCAGATGATTTCCTGTCTCCTGTCCTCATCCGTTCAGCGCCACTTTTGTTCCTCTCTAGTCGTAAGTCACCCCAACTCTTGACCCCTGTCACTAATGAATAAAACATGCAACCTTGCCGTTGCATAGTAACCAAGTTGAGGCAGAAAGTAAAGTGTGTATGGGTGCACCTGTGAGTTCACATCTGCATGTGTATGAAAGACGGAGGACGAGAAGAGAAAAACACCCCGGTAGCTCTAGAGCAGAGGTCCTTTAAGGGCGGAGTGGATGTAAAGGTCAGCGTGTCTGTCAGAGAACCGGTGGGGGTCGGCGGGGTGAGCAGACAGCGGCGGTCATCTCGCCAACACACGCAGAGTCGGGCTGCTCGCAGCACATTAACAAAGCCTTCATAACACTCTGATAATCACAGCAACCTGACCCCCGCAACCCCACCACCACACACGTAAAGAATATTGAGTCAAGTGGCTTAACTTAAAGCAGACAGAAAGTCTATAAACTTCCTGTACTATTTGAACACTCGCTCCAGTGGCATTTATCCTGTGCCGGGAGTTTCTGTTTGAAGAACATTAGCAAAGGCTCTGTGGTATTGACTCAGAGCACTCAGTGCCACAACATTCAGTAACAGCTACAGGAATTTTTATGTTAAGGAGAGTGTTTTTAAAATGTGTTTTGTGCATTTAATCCCATGGACATACTCTTATCAGTCCCTTCTGCATATCTTGGATATGTAGCTTATCATCTTGTTGGGTTGATTTTTATCTGCTACGTTAGACTCCGCAGCAACAATAGTCCATATTACATCCTCCTACCCCCCCCCCCCCCCCCCCCCNCCCCCCCCCCCCCCCCCCCCCCCCTCCAATCTGTGCAGAAAAAACATACCCATCTAGACCCATGACTGTAAAACACCATGCTCACAGATCCATTTTCTGATAGATGTAAAAAGAACTTTGTGACCTACGAGAGAGAACGAGAGCGGAGATATTCTAAGAACATTCATTATCTCAAAAGAAATTATCCGCATCCATGATTTATGCAAATCTCTGACCATGTATTCAAGGCTTAAATTCCTTTACGACTAAAAATAGAGTTTCCTTCACTTGCCACCGGCCTAAAGATATTATTAATGTGGGGAAAAAAGGGGAGATACTAAAGAGAGGGGATCATGGGGAGACTGTGAAAGGAAACAGAATGATACAGAACAAATTCAGATCAAATAGAAAGGCTGCTGTCTTTGATAGCTATTCCCTCTGAGGCACACCACACATCCTCTTCAACTGGGGAACCGTAATGACTTGTCCAGAAGAAGACACTGGCGCAGTAATGATGCAGGGAGGTGTGGTAGCTGCTTTTAGCCCAGCTGGTTGAAAGCATCTTCATGTGGAGCAGATGACAAAGATTGTGAGTTTCTTTCCCCCTTTGGAAGATTGTAATAGCTCTTGGTAGGTATGTCATCATAATCATTTCATCTCATTATCCCATCTCTCCTCACCCCTCTGTTACCTCCTTTGTGTCGCTGCCACAGTGCTCAGGTAGGTGCCACAAAAGCTTGTGTCGTGTTGCATGCAGTGTGTGATGCATGTTGCACTGGAATGTAAACTGACCCAGATAATATATAGAGAGCATAACAGCAGTGTTATTGTACCTAACAGGTATACTTTCTTTTATTCTCAGAATATCAACCAATTAGAGATTTTTGGAGACATGTCCACACCTCCTGACATCACCTCTCCATCGGTGAGTAGCTGTCACACATGCACAGATTGTGGTTGACACCGAATCGCAATGTTTGTTTAAAATAACTTACGGATGCAAAAGCTACTGCAGTGTGTTAGTTTTTAGCCACCTGAAAAAATGAATATCAGTTTAAAGGTCCAGTGTGTAGAATTTAGAGGGACATATTTGTGGAATATAATTTCTTTAGTGTATAGTCACCTGAAAATAAGAATTGGTGTGTTTTCGTTATCTTAGAATGAGACATTTACATCTACGCAGATTGCAGCTCCTCGTCTACAGAGATCGCCATGTTGTGCCACCATGTTTCTACCAGAGATGGGGGACTCGAGTCACATGACTTGACTCGAGTCAGACTCAAGTCGCAAATATGATTTGAGACTTGCTTGACTAACGTTGATAAAAGACTCAACTTGACTTTGACTTTGTATTCATGACTTGAGACTTGACTTTGACTTGAGACAGATGACTCGAAAGGACTTAGCTTTAATTCAATATTAAAGGCACGTTAAGCACCGTTGGGCGTCACTTCTGTTTACGTTCAACAATGTTATCAAACACAACGGAGCTAGCCCCGACATACAAAGTTGTTTGGAAAAACGTAATTTAAAATCTGTTTTTAACTGCCTCTCTGGGCACCGCGTTCATGTGCGTGTGCTTGCTTTCGTTGGTCTCGCGCTGGCTGGTTGGTGCTGCCTGGACCCAAATGTTTTTGTTGCCATTTGCGGAGCCTGGGCTGCCTACAGAGACCGGACTTTTTCACAGCATATTCAGAGGTTATGTAGCTAGTGGATCATGAGGAGATGTTTGCTGTATGTGACGTATGACTTGACTTGTGACTTGCTTAACCTGAGCAATGACTTGACTTGCTTGATTCTCACCACAACTAACTTGGGACTTGCTTGAGACTTGAAGGTAAAGACTTGAGACTTGCTTGTAACTTGCACATGTGTGACTTTCCCTCATGTCTGGTTTCAACAGTAGCCCAGAACGGACAAACCAAACACTGGCTCTAGATAGGGCCATTTGCATTTTCGTATTGGACACCGTAGTCAGAAGCCTTTCTGCAACAAGCAGCATTGGAGAAACACTGATTTATAACATGAAACTGCTTTATTCAGTATTTTTACGGGTTTAAATCACTTGGTCAGTTTGTTTAGGAGAGGAGGAGACCTCTGCGGATAATTGGGCTCCCATTAAAAACCTCCTAAACACTGAATTCTAAACAGGAGAACTTTAAGCTGGTTGCAGTTGGCAATCCTCACCACTAGATGCCACTAAATCCCCCTGAATCTTACACACTGGACCTCTAAGTGTACACTATATTTAGAATATTTTCACTGCTTTACCTTGCTATCAGATAGCCTTTACAAAGGGGGGTCATTTTACTTTGCAGAACGTTGGAGTTGCTGGTCTAGCACAGCCTCGATTGGTTAATGTGTAAGGTAGAGCGGAGAAAATACAGCGTACACTTGCACTGATATAGATTTTGTTGGTGGGACTTTTTTTTAAGGTGACTAAAATAGATTTTACTGTGGAACCTGTCGACAGCAGTACATTGTTAAATGTCTGTGCTGGTGGATTTGGTTGATCACAGACACTAGCAGAGAAGCAGTAAATAAAATAAGCACAGCAGAAGCGTCACATAGCTTGGACCACCAGGTATGCCACAGTTAAGGCTGGAAATGATAAAAGAAATAAGCTGTTTTGCTGATGTCCCATATTTCCACAATTGACATCAGTTGCCAGTTGTCTACCCTGAAGTGAGTGTTGGTGTCGCAGTGATTTGGTCTCTAAAATCCTAACTGTATTTCCGATGATGTGCTTTTTCCTCAATTCCACCTCTGATCACAACCCACGCAGACCCCCGCCTCTCCAGCCAACACCCTCGACCCCTCGCAGGGCCTGCAGCCTCCCACGGAACTATTTGCTCCCTTCAATCCTGCGTCTGTGCCCTCAGGTAGGACCTTGTTCATTTTCTGCTTAAATACACCACCGCCACAAGCGGAGGGGAAAACAAACGCAGCGGGAGAGAGAGCGTTGAGAAAAGGAGATGAAGGGGAGCTGGAGAGTCAGAAGCTTCGGAGGCGGAGGGCAGAGGAAAGAGGGGAAGAGAAGAAGAGGGGGGTTGAAATAAATAGAGGGGGACAGAATAGAATTGAAATGTAGATGAGGGGAGGGGAAAGAGGAGAAAAGGTGGTGTTGGTTGTGTGTTGAATATGAAATGCATCATTAGCTTGCTGCCTCAGATGCTGCTGATTTACCTGTGGCTGAAGCGACTGTGGTGGTCAGGGGGAAAGGAACAAAACATGCTGAGATGATTGTAGTGAAAACTCTCTGTATGCACAGGGCCACTGCGAATTACACGTTGGTATATATTTTATAGTTTCCCCGGTCTCTTCTCCTTTGCTCCAATCCTCACCTCTGTTCGTCTCCTCTCCCCTCTCCGTGCATATGTCAGGGTAGCAGGGTGGCCGAGGTTAAATGTCAACTTTCTCTGCTGTAGGTAACAACTGGAGACCAGAAACAGGCGAGTAGTGAGTGTGTAATAGAATGAGCTTCTACTGATGAGTTTGAGTGATTTTAATGAGTGTGTGTGGGGTTCTTCCTTTTCATAATGACTCTCCCTCATTCTGGAGGTAATTATGATAGTTCACCATGACCATCAAGAGACACCACATTAGCTGCAGGCAGAAGTAGGGCAGCACTCTCTGGTGATGCATGGGTTATTATCTGTGTGTGTTTGTGTGTAGAAGTAAAGCAGTGAGCATATGCACTGTGGGTATTTTAATCACTTCCTTCTTTGTCTTCTTTTTGACTTTATCATTAAAATTTGACTAAGTACCGACCTTTTCTTAACCTCAAACTCTTTGTTCTCTCTCCCCTCACCTCCAGGTTATGTGACGATGGGAGCAGTACCCCCCGGCCACTGGTCACAGCAGGCGTTCGCTGCCCAGACACCGCTGGCCTTTGGGGTCCAATCTCCTCTAGGTCCGGTCGCCCAGGTGCTGCCGGGCGGCCAGCCTCTGATCTGGGGCCAGGCCAACATCTTCCCTGCCACCCAGCAGCAGTGGGCAGCCATGGCAGCCGGAGCCTTCCCCCCTACAGCCTACCTCCCTGCCCAACCTGTGGGCACTCTGCCCGCCGCCATGTTCCAGACTCTCACCCCCGTCACGACTGTGACTCCAGCCGGCGAGAGCCATTCAGGTGCTGGAGCCAGCGCCTCAGCTCCCTCCCCTTCAGCGTCGTCGAGTCCGCAGCACGGGGAGAGGGCGAGGAAGATGGGCAAGGAGATGTTCAAGGTGGGGAGATATTGGATGGGACCAGAATTATGATCATTAGAACTATATTTTCTACCTTGTCTTTTTTAGAAAGTGTGACACAAAAAACATTGCAAAAATCAATCAGAGGAACCAGGAACCATGTTTAGCTCGTCATTTGTTTCTGTTGTTTCTGGAGCATTATATGCCTTTATTAGAAAACCGACAGGGAATGAGGGGAGAGAGATGAGGAACAATATGCACAGGTCCCTGACTGGTCATAAACTGGGGACTTGTGGACATTGTCAGTGCCATAACTTGGCAGTCTATGCCAGTGGTTCCCAACTGGCGGGTTGTTGTCCAAAAGCAAGTCGAGGGTCCACTCTGAATGGAGCACAAGTGACTCGCGAATGTGTCAAGTTTCTAAAAAAGACACTTTATTTTGAAGTACAGTGAATATCGGTACTCAATCCCTTTAAGGTATTGACTGAAATAACCCAGTGCCATGTAGTATCGAAACTTCAATTGCATTCCATTTTATTGACCCAGATCGAGAAAAAAGGTGAATATTTGTATGGTTTTGCTCCCAGTCAGTCACCACAAGATATTTTAGGCAACTAAATGCTTTCATTCACATGACGTATGGAATGAAGTACTCTTTTAATATCAGTATCACTTTATGGGTACCGCTGTTGGTACTGATATCGGAATGTTTTAAACAATACCCAGCCCTACCCATGTGGTGCATTTGCACGGGATAAGCAAAGACTGTATTAAACTAGAATTTACTGAAAATCTTCCCGGATGTTATGTCAAGGCTCTGCATGGGTCAAAGTAAATGCATGAGAAAAGGTTCTTTCATGCAACTCTGCTCACTTTAATGACCACCACAAGTCAGGCAGCAGGATTCCAACAGTGTCACTTTACTCTCTTCTGATGTATTTGAGCTCTTTTTTCCTGCAAATGGGTCTCTATGCTGTGAAGCAAGATAAGCCTTCTGAACTTGCACCCAAAATGCTGTTAGAACTTTTATTTGTAATTGCCAACACAGCCTCCATAATCCTCAAAACAGACCCCAAGACGCCAATCTGCACGGGACTAATATTATTACATGATCTCCGTGTTTAGAAACATTTGATAGGTTTTTACTTGACAAATTATGGACATGGCAAATTTGCACTGGATTAAGATCATAGATGACCTTAGGCCCAGGTTATACTAGGCCTAAAGACTGTAATCGGTGCAACGTATCCTCACACAGCAGTTTGCATGATATTCTACAACTTATGTTGCATACTTAAGGTAAGGTTACAGAGGTATAGGCAAGTGAAGTTGCTGTGGTTAGTTTTAGGAAAAGAAACAAAAACACATCAGAAATAATAAAGTCTGAGTTCCATTTTGAATGCACCTGCAGTGAGTCAAAGTGTTTAAGTCTCTGTGCCCAGTTTTAACGTCGGCCTTCTTGACCTTCAGGATTTCCAGCTGGCGAAGCCTCCGGCCATGCCAGCAAAGAAGGCTGAACAGCCCGGCTTAGCAGGAACCTCAGAGGCATTCAGCACTTACTTCAGCCGTGTGGGCACCGCCCAGGACACGGACGACTGTGACGACTTTGACATTTCTCAAATGAACCTGACACCAGTCACCTCCACGACACCGTCCACCAACTCACGTAAGAGCTCAGCTATTCGTGTTTGTCTGCTCTCTAAGTTACACGCTTTTCCCGTAGCTACGTCTCACTGGACTCATCCTCCCTGCAGCACCCACCCCAGCTCCCAGGCAGAGCTCTCCCTCCAAGTCCTCAGCCTCCCATGTCAGTGACCCCCCCACCGATGCCACAGACCCCCCCACAGACGACTCATTTGGGGAAGCAGAGGGCAGTCCAAGTCGCAGTGGAGAGGAAGATGCTGTAAGTGTGTGTAGTTGTGTGTGTGTGTGGGATAAGTCAAGTGTGTGTGTGCCTTTAATAACTCACTCCTTATGCTGCTATAACCTGCGCAGCGTGTTGAGATCTGCTGATAAATAGCCTTTGTAGCAGTGTTGGCGGGCCAGGTAATCACTCTGGCTGATTAGGGGGCTGATGCTGTTGTGTCCCGTAGTGTGTGTGTGTGTGTGTGTGTGTGTGTGTGTGTGTGAGTTTGTGTCTGTGCATGTGTGAATGTGCACATGGAGAGTGTGTTTCTGTGTGAGCATGAGCAGTGGTGTACCTGCATAAGTATGTGGTTCAGTGTGTGTGTGTGTGTGTGTGTGTGTGTGTGTGTGTGTGTGTCTGCCTGGTCAACACAGCGTTAAATTAGCTGGTGGAATTGTCAGAGACATCATTAAGCTGTTATTAATACCAGCCAGGTAGCATCCATACATCACCACTTCTATATGGACAGACTCATTTGTGGCGAGATAGAGGAGAAATAACGTCCCCAATTCTTCTTCCAGGGGCAATTAATATTTATTTTAACCAGCAGCACCTCCATCCATGAGAGATAGTGAGAGAAATTAAGGAAATATGAGAAGATAAAGAGATTTTTAGGGAGGGCGGAGAAACTCCCTTTGCCTTTGACCAAAGTCCTTGCAGAAGAAGTGACCTTCCAAGAAACAAGACTTTTGTAGCTCTTTCCTGCCATTTTTCTTTCTGTCTCCTTCTCTCTTTTTTTGTGTTTCTTTCATGCTTGCCTCTTTCTTCTCTTTTGCTCTCCACTCTCCAGGCGTGAAACATTAGTTTTATGCCTCCAATCCAGCTATTATTGAAAAAAAATAGAGGACTTTCACACTGCTGAAAATGTCACCAGGCCTGAATAACACCCAGACACTTTACACAACCCAGAGAAATGTGCATTGGTGGCAGCACCCAGTGAGTGAGTGCGGCGATAAAGGTTACAAAGAAAGACGGGAAAGACGGAGCGAAGGCAGAAAAACAACCTCCCACTCTCTGCAGGGCGAGGTGTGAAAAGCGGAAGTGTTTTTGGAAGAAGAGAAAAAGCAGTGGATCAATAGAACAAAGGCTTTTATAAAAGAGAAAGAACTGTAAATGAGTGCATGTATGTTTGTGTGTATTTGCAAGAGACTGCGTGGGCTGTGGGTTCTGTCTCCAAGTGTCCTTATTTCTCCTCCGAGTATTGACACCTTTTCTCTTTTGCTTCCTGTTTACGTCTGCTCTTTTAGTCTCTACCGATCCTGCAATCCTTCTTTCATAATTATTCTTCTCTGTCTACTTCCACTCCCCCTTACTTCCTTCTCTTATACCCCTCCATCGACTTTTCTTCCCATACTTTTCCTTCCTCCCCTTCTTCCTGTCTTTAGGCGTGTGGTTCTGGGTCGCCCTGCCCCAGCGAGACAGCAGAGCCCAGCCCAGACCAGGCCAGTCCAGAGGCTGGGAGCTAGATAGCAGCAGGGCAGGGTAGGTATCAATACCTCTCCTGTCCCCTAACACCTCCTCCTTCACTTCCCAGCCCTTACCTGTTCTCCTGGTTGACTGTTGTACCTCACACTGATCTGCCCAGGTTCTCCATCTATTTTTTCATATTTTCCTTCTTCTGTTGCGTCTTTGGTCTCATTTCACCATTTCCCTTTGTGTGATCATGGATGGATTGCTGAATGGGCTGATCAGACACAGGCCTTGGGTCCCAGAGTGTCAGGGGGGTCCCCTGTCCTTCACCTGCAAAATTTCACTTAATACATACTGACCAGGAAGAGACTCGAAATGACCACAAAGAGACACAGAGATCCCACAGAGAGATGCAAAGGAACTGCAAAGGGCCACAAAATGACCAAAAATGACAGGAAATCACCTCCAAGAGACACAAGACAACCACAAAGATAGACAGAATAACTCCAATGAGACACAAAACGACTACAAAAACAGGCAAAACAACCACAAAGAGACACAAAATGACATAAAAGACAAAGAGACACAAAGCAACCACAAGGAGATGCAAAATTACTTCAAGGGGATGCAAAACAACTACAGAAAGACAGGACACAACCACAAGGAGACACAAAATTACTTCAAAGAGACACAAAAGGGCTACAAAAAGAAAACAATCACAGGGAGATGCAAAATGTCCAAGAAAGATGCAAATTACCTCAAAGAGACACAAAACGACCACAAGGAGACACAAAATCACTTCAAGGGGATGCAAAATTCCTTCAAAGAGACATAAAATGACTACAAAAAGACAGAATACAACCACAAGAAAATAAAAAATGACCACAAAGAGACACAAAACAACCACAAGGAGACAAAAAATGCCTCCAGAGAGACATAGAATGATCTAAAAGACATAAAACAAGCACAAGGAGACACAAAATAACTCTAATGAGACCTACAATGACTACAAAAACAGGCAAAACAACCACAAAGAGACACACAGCAACCACAAGGACATGCAAAATAACTTCAAAGGGATGCAAAAATACTTCAGAGAGATGTAAAACAACTACGAAAAGACAGGACACAACCACAAGAAGACACAAAGTGACCACAATGAGACACAAAGTGACTTCAAAGAGACACAAAATGGCTACAAATATAAAACAATCACAGGGAGACACAAAATGTCCAAGCAAGATGCAAATTACCTCAAAGAGACACAATACAACCACAAGGAGACATAAATTACCTGAAAGAGACACCAAACAACCAAAAGGAGACACAAAATCACTTCAAAGAGACATAAAATGACTACAAAAAGACAGAATACAAACACAAGAAGATAAAAAAAAATGCCTCCAGAGAGACACAGAATTACGTAAAAGACACAAAACAAGCACAAGGACACACAAAATTACTTTAGTGAGACACAAAACAACTACAAAAACAGGCAAAACAACAACAAAGAGACACAAAATGACAGAAAAGACAAAGAGACACAAAGCAATGACAAGGAGACATAAAATTACTTCAGAGAATGCAAAATCCTTCAAAGAGACATAAAACGACTACAAAAACACAGAATACAACCACAAGAAGACAAAAAATGACCACAAAGAGACATGAAACAACCACAAGGAGACAAAAAATGCCTCCAGAGAGACAGAATTATCTGAAAGAGACAAAACAAGCACAAGGAGACACAAAATGACTTCAAAGAGACATAAAATGACAACAAGAAGACAAAAAATCACCTTAAAGAGACACAAAACAACTACAAGGAAACACAAAATTACTCCAAAGAGACACATATTAACTTGAAAGAAACATCAAATCACAAAAAGATGTTTAACAACTACAAAGAGATGCAAAACCACCACAAAGTCAGTGTGCCTTGCTCCTGTGTAGCAGAGGTGGTGGGGCCCTTTGCCTTTCTGTGCCCAGGGGCCAACTGTCTCATGATCCGCCCATGTGTGTGTGGTTGTGCATGTGTGAGTATTTGCTTGTGTTTCACTCTGTGTGTTGTTGAAGCCTCGACTGGAGTTTTGTAAGTATCTCTTCTGATGTGGCATCACGTGTGTGAGTTTTTCAAACAATAGGTGACATGTTCATCACGCATGATCACTTTGGCCATAGTGCTCCGTGCCCTCATTGTGTCCTGTCTTTGTGACGTGTACTTAAATCATGCCCAGTTCCCTGAATAGCACACATCTCACTTGGAGAGCCAATAGCGTGTGACAGCCAATCAGAAACTGTGCACTTCAGTGAACAGGACGTCATCTGGGATTTGCCAATGTTGTGCGCAATATGCTGATCTCGGATGTTTAGCTTAATATAAAAATGATGCGTGCTGTCATTTTTATGCATTATGTATGTTACATGATGAAATGTAACTCATAATATGTGCGTTATTGTAAGAGGATCAAACTGAGAACGACAAGCAGCGACTATCAGAACTCAGGGAACTGATGATGTGTGTGTTTTATACTTTGTGCGCCTCAAACTTTCACACAACTTGCACAGGCTGGAAATTTGTTTTAGAGATGTGTCAACATGCTGTTTGCACAGAGACAGAGGGGCGGGCACACAACACACACACACACACACTAAAGAAGAGAGACGTTTTGATCCCTGCCTCCCTACCCGGTGTCCTCACCCACACAACTCCCGAGTGTGGCTCCTTAATGATAGCTGCTGGCACTTACATAGGGAAAAATGTAATGGTTTTGTTTTCATCAGCTAATATTGGGGTGCCAAGATTAATGACTGCCCTGGCATAATTGGCATTAATTAAAACCCAAGAAGCTTTCTAGTCCTTCCCCACTCCAGGAGAGGAGGAGGGACGGCTGAGCAGCCTCTCTCCCCTGTTGGCCACCATCCTCATATAGAGACAGTCTGAAAGCTGCAGGGCAGCAGGTGGATGTGGGCCTTAAGTGGGAGGACGGATTGTAGAGTACCGAGTGCTGAGTCTGGCTGCACACTGACTGTTATGGCCAGAAGTACCGAGTTTTTCCTCTGTAGTAGGTGGACTGCTTTGGTCCTGGTCCAGTGACGCTGCTCCCATATGGTGTTTACTTGCTCAATCACATCGACTTTAGACAACTCCCCAAACTCCCCCCCCCCCACACACACACACACACACATACACACCTGTGCAATAGGCCCAGTTATTCCCCAGATGAGCACACCTGTGATCGATACTGTCACCACCTGTGCTCACATTGGAGCCAAAAATGTGTGTTTGCTGCTGGCCATGACCGCCTGTCTTGTCCTCCCCCTCCCACTGTGTGCTTCAGACAGACATGTGTTCAGGCTAGTGGGAGTGTAAGTGTTTTTTTTCTGGGGTGATCTCATCATGTCCAGCGAACGCTCCCGAGTCTCAGCCGTGAAATGGCCTGCTTCCACGGTTCACTGAGCAATCTCACATTGCTCCCCCGGCCCAGGGCCTACCACTCACACACACTCATACACACACACGCACATTAAATGTCCACACGTGTACCAGCCAGGCCAGATATTTTGGCCTTCAGGCTGGTGCTAGGCCAGCACATCGCTCATACCTCCACCCGGTTCCTCCCCTCCCTCTCTCGGGGTTTATGGAGCTGAAGCGGCCCCGCTTGGCAGCACTGGTTAGATGATGCGGGATGACACTGCCGGGCTGTGGCTCTGGTGCAGGGGCTGAGCAGTGTGTGCTTGCTGTCACTGCTTGTCTCAGCCTCTTTGTCACCTCTCTCAGGGCTGCTGGCAGCTACTTTCTGCTGACTGTCTGGCCTTGGCCGGCCCCACAGTTACAGCTCTGTATCCCAGAGCCCAGAGCCTCGGCTAAAGCATCTCTCCCAACTTTAACCCCACTTTTATGTGCGGATGAAAGCCGATGCAGATTACGCAACAGGCCAGGTTTTGGTGTGATTTTGAGCGTGAAGCAGCTTTTTGAAAGTCTTTCTCCTTTTTTTTCCCAGAGCTGCTTTCAGACACAACATGAATAAAGTCTTACTTTATTTGTGAAAATCTGAACACTGAATTGATTTTACCATGTGTGTGTTTTGGCCCCAGATAACCAGTGGACAACTATTAATATCATGAACATTAACTTTAACAGGGCTACAATAAGCTCCTGTTTACATTGTTAATAAATCTGCCCAAGATGACATTGAAATCCCTTGATTTGTCCAAGTGACAGTCCAAAACCTAAAGAGATTTCATTTACTATTACATATTTGAGAACCTGGAACCAGAGAATGATGTTTTTGTACATGCAACTGTGTGAAGAGAGCGTTTATGTAAAGATAGACTAAGCAGGATAACAACATATAGAATCATTCATTCATTTTCAGTAACCACTTATCCTGTTAAGGGTTGTGGGGGGACTATCACAGGGCTGACACATTACCCCTTTCAAGACAGGAATTGTGCAAATTTGCAGGAAAGCCCAATCAGTCTTTTTTCAGCATTGGCAGTATAAAAACAAAATTGGGGAGTACAGCAAAATGCCACCTACCTACTTTGCTCATACAGAATGCGCCTTTTTCGGGGCAATGGGGGGCGTGAGCAAGTAACAAAACGTGTAGCTCAGCGTGTGACGTAAACAGTGACGTGGGAGGGAAGCCGCGGCTGGTCAGTCCTTCTGCGATTCTCTCATAAGTCGGCCCGTTCTTCACCGTCCCCGTCATCTGACGGTTAATGGCCTCTTTGTTTGCGAGGACAAGGAGGGCGCGCAATTCCTTGTCTCCCCAGTTGCTCATCTTTACAGTGTCTGTCAGGTTTGTGTTTCCCTCTTGCTACTAGCTGCTCACTAATTCCTGCTATCAGCTGTTTCCTGTTTATCCACCGCCAGTGGCTCGCACGTGCGGCGTCATTAACAGCTCCTCCCGTTGCGGAAGGGCGCCTCGGTCTTTTTAAACTCAAAAGGTTCCACCAATATGTCTACCCTACGAGGCGGAAAATTGGGCACCTCGGATCAACTCACCAATCCGGCTCTGTGTGTCTAAACGCTTGCAGCTTGCCGGCAAAACGGCCCAACATTCGCGGAAAATCTGGCAGTGTAAAAGGGGCTAGTGAGAGAGACGACCATTCACACTCACATTCACACCTACGGACAATTTAGAGTCACCAATTAACCTGCATGACTGTGGGAGGAAGCTGGAGTACCCAGAGGAAACCCACGCTGACACAGGGAGAACATGCAAACTCCGCACAGAAAGGCTCCCCCCTTGCTGTGAGGTGACAGTGCAAACCACTGCACCACTGTGCCGCCCAGAAGTAGTCCCTCTCAATCGTCACTTATGAAGAGTGTGGCTGTGTATTTTTCTGCAGACTCTGCCCTCCACCTACTGTATATTGTGTTATTGCCTTCTTATTCTCCATGTCCAGGGCGTGTGCCCCCACAGCGCTCAGGTGAGGTCGAGGCTTTATTAAAAGGTAGTGATCAGGTGCCAGACTGTAAGCAGCAGGCTTCCAAGAGACAGCGCAGAAGAAACACAAATATAGTGCGGCAAAACACCAAATGAGAATGTATCTGGGTTTGGCTTTTACTTTTTCCTCCAGACCCTCACCTGTTCCTCTTGACTCTATGTTAAGGAAGTGGAGTCTCACAACTCAGGATAACCATCAGGGTTTCCCCAGGTTAGACATGTTTGCATAAATGTGTCTTTGCTTCACTTAATGCCGTATGATTGAACTGAGGGGCAGCACACAGTGGCAGCAGAGACGGCTGTATGTGATGAGATTTGCATAACGTCATTCATATTTGGGCTTAAAATGATGTCACACATCAGCAGAACCTCCTGTCACTCCAGTCTGCTCACATCCTCAGTTTGCATCTGATCCTATGAACATTAGGTACCAGATCCATGTGTGGCAGCTACTAGCAGACCCCAAACTCTCTGCACAGAGTGAGAGACGTCTTCCAGAATATAATAGGCCAGCCAGTAGTCTCCAATCAAGTTGTCTGCATGGCAGATTGAGTGGCTGGCTGTAATTATGTGTACGATAATAACGGGCCCATTGTGAGTGACTGCAGCAGGCTTGGTGCTCTGACTGCAGGGTGTTCCATCATCTGCTGTTGTCTTCCGGCTCAGTTGGGGAGAAATACAGACATGATGACTCATAACTGGTCTTTCAAGGCGCTAGTTTATACCTCTGATTCATACTGGTCCTGGAGGGAGCCTGCAGTGGGAGAGAATATGCATGTGCGTGCACAATGACACACTCAGAGACAATAACTCACACACACACACACACACACACACACACACAAAGCCTCCGAGAGTGAGGGGTGAATTTTTCAGTGGGAGCTCTCAATGAGCTGAGAGAAGTGACGTCGCCTCCAAAGTGGTGCGCTACTGTCACCTGGTGGCCATGATGGGTACAGGAACTAACGAAGCTTTGCAGGTCTGGATCTGACTTGTCGGGGCTTGTAGGTGATACTTGCAGTTCGGCTGGTGGAGAGAATGAATCAGAATTATGAACTTGGGTCCTCCCTTTTAATTGTGCAACATTCAGAGGAACTGTTGAGGCCAAACATTACAAATCCAGCCAGGTTTATATACTGAGAGGAAAAAGAGGCTGTTTAAAATTGCTGATGTTTTTCTCTCTCATGCACAGAAGGGGAAGGACCCTCTCTACGCCCAGATCAACAAAGGGAAGAAATAAAGAGACACACAGGAAGACAGACCTGACCAGCACTGAGAGAACAGGAGGAGAACCCTCACCTTGTGTGTGTGTGTGTGTGTGTGTGTGTGTGTGTGTGTGTGCGTGCGTGTCTGGCACATTTCCCTGCCAAGCCCTTCTTCTTCTCCTCCTCCAGCTAACAACCTCCCAGGAGGAGCCTCCACACTCCCTCTGTCCTCCTCCTCCTCCTGTGCTCCACCTCCTCCTCCTCTCTGCAGCCTCCTCTCCTCCTGAGAGGAGAGAGCTCTCTCGGTCATTCACTCCAGGCAGGAGGGATATCAATCACTGAGACGGATCCAGTTCTCCCTCCACTGCGCTGTCTTCTCCTCTCCTCTCTCCTCCCTGTGGCGACTCACACCCCAGCCTTACAGAACATAACCTGCTCCTTCCCTCTCTCCCTCCTTCCCTCCCTTCCTCCCTCCTCCCTGTCTTCGCTCTCACACTCCTCCCTCTGCCTCCTGTGTCTGGCCAGAGACTGCTGCCAAGGAGGGACTGAATCAAGCAGTGCCTCCCTGTCTCCGACACACACCCACGCAAACACGCACGCTCATCGGGATTAGAATGATCATCTTTCGTTTTTAACTGACAGAATCTGCATCTGTAGCGAGGAGATCCCACAGGAGGAGCTTAGACTCTAACGAGCCTATCAGGGACGCCCGTTACTGGGATCACTGCTTCTGATTGGTTGGTTGGTTCGGGCGTTGTCTCCCCATTCTTGTGAGTGTCTGCTGGATCACTATGCAGAAACAGACTCTCTGGGAGCTACTCACACACCAACTACACGCATACTGCGCACACAGCAATCAGCCTACATGCACCCACCACGCACACACACACACACACACACACACACACACACACATACACACACTCATCTCTCACCCTCTCTAACATGCATACACACAGTGATTTGCCAAACGTCTCTCCTCGCAGACAGACTCACACAGAGGCCAGAGGACCGGACATACTGAGGAATGGACCCTGAGAGGGAAGCGAGTCCAACAGATTCTGTGATTGAACTGTTCATTCTCTATAGCTTTTGTACAATACCGATTAAAAAAGAAAAAAAGAAGAAATTGAAAAATGGAATTTTTATTTTATAAGTCAATCAAGCCGCTGGGGTCAGCTCTATAGGAGTTATAGAGTCAACATGGCTTTAAGGCATCTGATCGTTGGTTTGCCAAACTCATTTTGTAAATAACGAAGACAACAACCATTCTGTCCACCGGACTTCTGTGCCATAAAATAGGAAGGCTTCAGTTATGCAAACTTGACGTTAACCCAAGCAATACCAACATATGTTTTCTTTTTCCTGTTTTGTTGCCCTCTGATATCATTTTGTTCTTGTGCATGGATGCTGTAGGTCTTCGTCTTAACCTCGCTTACTAATCCTGATTCCAGCTGCACATCTTTACCCCTTATTGGTCCTTTCAGTGTCCCACCACCTCACATTATTATGTCCCAAACAGATTTGCTTCTGCAGTTTATGTTGCCACAAGTACGCACCGCAGCCTCACGTTTTCGCACCACTCCCTATGTTGCAGTCTCACTCTCCTCCATCCCCCCCCCCAGAATAGTCTTTAAGATACAGTGATGCTCTGCCCATCTGTCTGTCTGTTGGTCAGGTGCCAAACCGCTGCTGTCCGAGCGTCTGTGTGTGGACTGCAGCAACCTCTGCTACAACTACATCAACTGTGATGCCAATGACTCCCTATTTTATGGCCAGAGTCCCCATGTCACTTGAGAACTCTTTTGGACTATGACGTTGATTAACTTAAACATTTGACAACTAGAAGACGAGCAAAGAAGTTGAATAAAAAGGGAAACGTTGCTGTTTGAGTACATAACATTTCTAGACCTATTTTAACTTTACCTCAGCTAACAGTTTCTTAATGTAAATTGACACATTATTTTTATCTTTATGAATATGACATTCTACAGTGGGTTTTTAGATAATTTTTTGGTTTTCTCTTGATTTACGTATTCCACCATGTATTACTGTTACAAATAAACACATCCCAAATGACTGATACATCTATTTATGTGTCTTGGTTTGTGTGTGTGTGTAAGAGAGAGTGTGCCTAATGGTGTGTGCCTGGCAGAGGTGACCCTCAGTGAGGCTATAGTTAGTGAAAAGTGAGTGTTACAGTACTTTGTTGTAATTTAACACAGCTTTAATGGCCTGTCACATTCTGCTACAGTGGCAGCCTCTAATGCAAGCTGTCATAGGCTTTATTAGCAAGCGACTACAAAACAAGGACTTCAGGCTTCTTCCTTTAACTTTACTTCTCCATTCCTCCCCGTGGAAAAGGTTAAGACATTAGAGCACTTTGTTGATTCCATATTATACAGGAGAAATGAGAGCTGCAGACTTTATCCATCCATCCATCTTCATTCGCTAATCCGGGGCCAGGTCGTGGGGGCAGCAGGCCGAGCAAAGCACCCCAGATGTCCCTCTCCCCAGCAACGCTTTCCAGCTCCTCCTGGTGGATCCCAAGGTGTTCCCAGGCCAGATGAGATATGTTACCCCTCCAGTGTGTTCTTGGTCTGCCCCAGGGCCTCCTACCAGTGGGACGTGCCTGGAACACCTCTAATGGGAGGCACCTATGAGGCATCCTGATCAGATGCCCAAACCACCTCGACTGACCCCTTTTGACTTGAAGGAGCAGCGGCTCTACTCAGAGCTCCCTCCAGATGTCTGAGCTTCTCACCCTATCTCTAAAGCCTAGTTCACATTACACAATTTTCACCCTGATTTTGCTTCGCGGAGACTAACGCAATGTTTTGAGTGTTCATACCTGGTGATGTGTGTTTCTGTCAGCGGGAGTCTCGCCAACTGGAGAAGATTTCTCCACCGAGCCCTCGCCGACAAAGCCCCAGATAACGCGGTGACGTCACCAAACTTGGAGATGGCACAACGTAAAGACATGGATATTCTTTATTATCCTGGGTCCAAACACAACACGCTCCCCATGATCCTGTGGACACCACCATTGTTGTTGTTGCTTGCCGGCTTGTCAGTGTTGCCAGATCTTGGGAGAGAAACAAGCAACCAGGGCTATGGAAACAAGCCCAAAAGAAGCAACTGCAGTCTGACATACTATCATGTGTTTAAATAAGTTATTAGACGGATATATATAGAGGAAGTTGACGTTTAGAGAGCAAGCACAAATAAGCAACTGGCAGACCTGGCAACCCTGCGGCTTGTCCTCCTCACATTTCTTCCGTCCTCCTGCGTGCTGACGTGGGACGTATCCCGCCTCTCATTGGCTGATGCTCTTTGTCAGTCGTATCAGCCTTCTCCAGTTTTCTAGCATGCCAGATATCCAGTCCCAGTCACAGACGAGGGGGCGACTTGCTCATAAGCATAAAAAAACAAACATTTTCTCCCTTACCTACAGTGCCAGCTCCCCGTGCAGTTAGTTTCAGTTTTATGAGATGAGGTATTGAGAAATTCATTCATGATTTTTTTCATTTATTTATGTTTTTGCTACCACCCACATACTGTGTAGCTGAATGGAATTTTGTTCATCGCATTGAAAAAGTACATTTGACAGCAACGTGTCCTTCCAAAAACACTGTCCCAGATACTGGATAATCCACAAACCTCACCGTCAGCAGTTTTCTTTGGCAATATTTCTTCTGTGAAAACTGTCAACAGTGAGGTCTGGATTGTGCCGGATTACCGGTTTTGTATCGAACAGTGTTGTTGCTTAACGCCCCCTCAGTGGTAATGGCTTGAGCTAAGAGTCTGGTTCAGGTTTAGGTAAGGGCTCATTAATTTTGCAAAGATGAGTTGCAGTTGATTTTTTTTGTATTCTTTTTTAATACAGTGAGTCTCACACATTAAATCCAGTTCATCACTGGTGTCACAAACTTCAGACTAATGTCTTAAAACTTTAGCAGATAAGATATGAACAATTTGCATGACTGGATACAACCAAGGATTAGTGGAAAGGTGTTTTTGTAGGGTTAACTGACGCTTTAAAGGGGAACACCACCTAAATTACAAATTCCAATATGTTATTCCCATGGCCTTTAAAGGTTCGATCAGTATTTGTGAACATGAGCTACTCCCTCAAAGCCAGACACCAGAGAAGTAAGTGCCAGACTTGTGATGTCGTAGGGCAGAGGTGTCAAACTCATTTTAGTTCATGGGCTACATACAGCCCAGTTTGATTTCAAGTGGGCCAGACCAGTAAAACCATTGCATAGCAACCTACACATAACAACCCCCTCAAACTTTCCCCCTTGGTAGTTTAAAGAAGTTCATTCTGAAAATGTTCATTCATTTACAAAACAAATGACCAGCCTGCGATATCCTGAGAACAATATGTGCAAATTAACAAGTAAATTTCCCACTGAAGCGAAAAGTATTGACAAAGCAGGGTTCCACTAATATTGTTTCAAGATAGAAGTCTGATACAGATTCTTTGGTACTGAAGCTGCTTGTTGAGAATATTTTGCACAGTGTTTACTATCTTTAAACATGACCAGAGTAAGTATTGATTGTTATTTCAGAGAGCTGTATTCTGGTCAGGGTGAAAAAGCCTCTGAGGCAGCATTTTACATGAAGTATCTACTCACTGTTTCAGTTGCTCCTAAAACCTGGCACCTCTCAGCCTTCACATGTGCTTCAATATTAAGTGCAAAATCATCTAGTGGACTGGATTGAACCCTGTGGCGGGCCAGGTCTGGCCCCTGGGCCGTATGTTTGACACCTACTCTATTGTAGTGGTCTCCATTCTGAAACAGAAAATGTACCCCGAATGTTCCCCTGAGTGCTTTCAGTGTAATCCATTACATCTTTCCAAAGTCACTGTCTATGAATGTTTTCAGACCTTCAAGGACTTTTTTTCTGTCTGCATTTGCAACCAATAGGAACACGGAAATATTATACTGTGAGCAGGCTGCCAGTTGGAATAACAACATTACTTTTAATCATGTATATCCACCATTACATATATGCTCAGTAAAGCCTGGACTTTACTGTCGGTCCATTCGTCCCTGAATTCTTCCATTTTTTTTCTGGTTACGAGCTGTTGTCTGTCTTTTGTGCTGTCTGTTGTTTACAGACTGGCTGTTCATCCAATTAATGTACCTTTACATCAGTCAAGGTTTCCCTTGAGTGCCTACTGTGAAATAAAAGCTGAAAAATTCCCTCAAAACAGTGTCCTAAGTACCTCCATCGTTCCTACTTCTTGTGGTGCAGACTCAAGAACTATACTGTGTCTCAAATCACATACTTCTGTACTTACACTTAATATTTTGAGTGCATAAGTGCGTTCACACTGAGAAGTATGGAAAAATGCAGTGCACTATGAGTACCCGGGTGGTGCACTCAAAATGGTCAAGAAGTTGAGTGTGGAACTATGGACACTTCTTGCACTCAATGGTCGCCATCTTGGCTGCGTAGCAGAAGGGGAGGGACCACTTTTCAAACTGGAAATGGCGGCCGAGGACTGTGCGACCGTGAACGTCACTGCATTGTACAAATACATGTGTTTTTTGCACGAAGCACCACTATACTGTTGTCGGGTATAAGCCAGCAGTATGTTTGTTGGATTAATTGAGCAGTCTGTAATGATTTGGTACCACGAACGATAACGAATGCTAGTTTGCTAACTAGCTAATTAGCGGTCGTCATTTCCGGTAAGAACACAACGGCCGTGTTTGGTTTGAGACAACACTACCCTGTCGAAATTCGCATACTACGCCAATGAGTACACAGTGCACATAGTGTACTACATGGAAGTGTACTAACGGAAGTATGTGATTTGAGACACACCAATAGTTTCTTACAACCATGAAAAAGTTATTCGGGGCCGAAGACACCTTATGGAGTAGTTTCAGACTTTATATCCCATGACATCTCAAGTTTGAGTTTTAGCACTCTAGTTTTTGGATTTGGGATAGATTTGTTCACTAATATTTTAGCGACCTGTTTACTAATGTTTTTGGACTGTGTTAGACTAGAGGAATACAAACAGGAATGTTTTTGGGGCCATTTTATCACTTAATTTGCTGTGTTATGAGTGGGTACATTATTAATATTTAAGTTGTAATGATTCAGCATTATTGAGTAACTGGTAAATTATTATTTCGTTGTCATATATAGTACTTTGTATATTGTTTCATTTGTATTGTCATGTGCAGTGTTTAAGCGGAGTCATTGTGTTCCCTTAGTTATGAGTTAACTGGTTCCTACCTGTGCTTGTTTTGTGGGGACAGTGAAGAGAAGATGCTGTACCCATGAGTTGTAAAGTGTTGGTACGGTCTTGCCGTGTTGGTAAAAATTAAACATTGCCCACAGCCTGGAAGAACTGAACACCAACCATCAAGACAAGAGGGTTACACGTGTATGAATTTTGAAAATGGCCGTAGTTCCCCTTTAAGTTTAAGTTTCATGTCCAGTTTAAATGGTTTCAATCTACCAATATTCCACTACACAGACCAGACCAGTGGGTTTCTGTTAATAACCAGGGAAAGAGAGGCCTGTGAGTCAAACCAGCAGCCCTGTCTGTGTATGAGGTCTCAGCTCTGACACACCTGTCAGCACAAGCTCAGGTTGGCAGAGAGTATCCTTTAAAACTGTGTCAGGGAGGCTGTGTGCCTGTAACATATGGTGTATTGATGTCATATTATAAATGCCTGCCTAAATACTTTTGTATTCTGTGTAACAAACCTGGAATGTTGACTGACCTCCTTTGTTTCCTTTTCCTCAAATGTTTACCCTCAAGATTCAGCTGAAGCTGCAGACAACACACCGTGAATCTAATGATGTATTAATGATACATCAACTCCTCACTACAAGAAACAAGCTGCTTTTGAAAAGGTGCAGGGCCTAATGTGTGCAAAAGTCGCAGTGGAAAATGAACAGTTATAAAAAACAACTGCAGCGACAACGTTTCATGACAGTGACTCACATTTGCGCGTACACGTAGTGCCAGCTGGGCCACATTCCTGAAGGATAAAAAAAAAAAATCTGTTGAGAGTCAGCGTGGTGCGTTAAACTCAGACCCGTTTGACGAG